CTCCTCTTTTCAATTCTTACGCTCGAGGCGTCCTCGCAAATGGACAAGTTATGATTCAACAATGCCCAAGCCTTATAAGAGAAATTCCATAAAATATAGTAAATTTTTCTCTCTCATAAATTGTGGCACCTCCTCTCTTTTAAAATGACATTTTGAGTCCTATAATTTTGACCCAAGTGTTTTCTCTTTTCTTCCTTAATTTGTGGGTCCTCATAAAATAAAAGATGATTTGAAATACAAATAGAGGATGCTACATCTTGAATCGTGGAGGAGGGTCAATAAATATTGTAATTTAAAATTTAAATTAAATAATTATCACTCTTAAAGTAATGATTAAATTAAAGACAATTTATATTAATTATTAGAAGTAATTTTAAAATTTAAAATTTAAATTGAACATCATTATTTCTTTTGAAATGTTTAAATGAAGGAGTTAGACCAATTTACAAATAATTTTAAATTTTAAATTAAATAACAAACTTTCCCTTAGTGCAAGGCTTAAATTAAGAACAAGCTACAAAAATGATTTCTTATAGGAGATAATTTCAAATTTTAAATTTAAAAAGGATATGTTGACCCCATAAATGAAATTGTTGAACTTTTTTATTCTTGTAATTAATATAATAGCTATAAATATTTGGTAGCATTATAATACAAAATAAGTTTAGGTTGAAGGATGTACTATGCTTTGAGCATTTTCTTAGATAGAAATAGGCTGCACTTTTTGTATGAGAATATTAGTGATTTCTTCATATTAATTTCAATCATGAATAAAGCATATAAATTTTTTTCATGTGATTGTCTTATTTGTTGTTAGTTCATGTGATATTTTCTCTACTCATCATCAATTTATAACCTACTTGTCTAACCTTTGGCCTCCACTAGTTATTCAATCACCATCAATATCCACACTTAACAAGCCTTCATTTACTACCATTTTTTTTAAATTTTTGATCATTTTAGTATTAGAGCTAAAGTAGATCTGTCTTCTTATTGGAGACAAGAATAGTTTGGTTGCTTCTTTTTCTTTTCTAATAGATATTGTCCATTTTAGTTTTGACACAACCATCTCCTCTTGAGTACTTACGGCGACGGGGACTTCTTAAGTTATTCACTAGTTTGGTGATCTAGATTAATGTTATTGGTTTAAAATAATTTCTAATGATAAACAAAAAGAATTCTCCCCATGTCATCTTATTGACTTTTTTTTATCAGTTATTTAATTTTAATCTCCCCTTAAGAAATTATAGGCTTGCTCCCACGGTCCATTGTACCACGATGTGTCCGCCTAATGAGCTATTGCATGAGCATATACGCTTGTAAGGCCGATCATTCGTATCAAGCAATAACACATCTATACTCCATAAAACCGCTAGAGTAAAACACAACTTGACAAATAGCTTAGGCAGTGCACTCATATCTGAGTGATGCCGAACATCTTGGCTCATCCTTGAGCTAGTGCACCGGCTATGACAAATTATAGAATATCATAATGACACTCAAAATATGTGCATCTTATATTTATTAAATCTTCCAAAATATTATTGATCGCATCATGATATACAAACAATATAACATGATCAACACTGTATGTGATTGGGTCCGAAATGACAAAAAAAAAATTTATTGTTTGTTGGAAAAGCTCTTGAATAAGCTGTGGAACCAAACAAAATTAAAAAAAAAAAAAAAAATTTATAACATTCTTTAATAAGCACAACTTCAAAAAATTGTTCCAAACACACTCAGCCAAGCTTTCTTTTTTATAAAAGAAAAAGATTCAAAAATAAGTTTTTTGAAAAAAAAAAAGCATATTTTGAAGTTACTTGGAAACAATCTGAAAGAAATACAAAAGTCTCTCAAAAGCGTTTCTATAAAAATATTGCAGCAAAATAAACTTTTTGGCATTTTCAGAAACTTAAAACAGAATAAAAAACTCTTCCAAACCGAGCCTCAAGTATTCCATCATTGTCAAGCCGATTCAATGGCTGTATTTGAAACGTGTGCAACTACACATTGTAGAAGATAGATGCGTGCAAGGAAGGATAATTGATGGTAGAGATCATGTACATGTGAGGCGGGGGAAGTTCGGTTTCCTTAAGTGAATGCCGAAGCCTATAAAAATTTTGTTTCGTAAGAATGATAATTTTTTGCTGATTTAGCATGCAGCTAATCTTCTCTGGTGCGAGCACTACTTTTAAAAGAAATTTGACGGACTCTCTATATCAATGGTCAACTTTTAAAAGGAATTTTGGAGATGTTAGGCTGCTCTGTGATTAGTGTGTTGACTCTTGGAAGAAGAGGGACATTCTCTACTTTGCATTGTAGCTTTTGCCTGAGTAATTGTTAATGGTGGTAATGGTTCTGTTGTGAGGTTAAGTCGAAGCAGCTCTTTATTTTTAATGAGAGCAGGAGGAAAGGAGGATCAGATTCTGTTGGAAGGAGCTTCGATGTTTGGCAAAACTCATTCAAAAGTCATGTTGTGGGACGGGACTCCTAAGGAGCATTCTAAAGTGATAAGATTTTTGCATTCCTCCTCTTTGTCTTCCGGAGACGTTCCAAAAACGTCTCGGTCACCAAACGTCTCTTTCTCCCATGGCGGTGTTGAGTGCGATCGAATGAGATATGGAACCTTCTCAAACGTAACCTTGGGCTACAAATACCGACAACTTGAAAGACAGAGCCGTGCAGACAGAAGGCGTTGTCGTAGTTGTTGTAGTAGGCATGGGTTAATTGAAGGGAAGAGGGCTTGAGCTACTGCTAATGAGAGAGCGGTTGAAATTAAAAAGTTTAAAAGAAGATATAATTAGTTTGCCTAAAATTGATTTCATTTTATATATTTATGCAATGTATGTCAATATAGGAAAAAAAAAAATAACTTGAACTCCTTATATAAAAAATTAATTTTTAGATCTTGACCACTTGAATTACTTTATATGATTTTTGTTAATCAAATTTGTAACACTAATTTAGGAGGAAAAAGTTATTATTTTATTATTGTAAAAAATTATTAATCTTTTTAGTATAAAGTATAATTCATTAAAAAAATTTACTAGATGTTGAATTTGAGATTTTCCGTGAATCACATCCAAGAAATATACCACAACTAACATAAGAGAGCGAGAGAGAGAGAGAGAAAGAGAGAGAGAGAGAGAGGGAGATATGAATAGTTTTTCTAGATTTTTCCTCTTAATGGTAAATAGTGCTCCTCTATTTATTGAAGAAGAATCATTATACAATGATAGTTATGCCCATAATCTTATGCAGTTGACTGAAGATGGACGAATTGTCGGGTTGAACGAAGATGAACGTTGAACGGAACTAGCCGGGTTGATCGGAGCTGTTTGGAGTTGGCCAAGCCAAACAAAGCTAGTATAGGCTAACTGAAATTAGTCAGGTCGAACGATGCGTAAGGATATAGATAGAGAGGGAGAGATGAATAGTGATGAACAGTGATCAATCACCAACCGGAGATGGTCGGGTTGACTGAAGGAGTTGGCCAAACTAGTTGATTAGACCTAGTCGAGCTGGAGTTGGCCGACTAGAGTTGGTTAAGCAGGAGAAGGTCAAGTAGATGAGTTTGACTATTATACCAGGCGAGTTCTCTAAGGCATTATATGTTGCTAGTTAGTTTTCTATGGCTCAGTTCTTCTCTTTGTGTTGCTCTTCTTCTTATTTGTAGTATGATCCAAATTCATCACAACTTTCAGGATGTTGAATCTGATATTATTTGTGAACCACACCCAAGAAATATAGTGTATTGAGACAGTTGAACATTCTTGAACAGTGATCGATCGTGTTTATTTGATTTTTCCTTCGAACCACAAATAGTGTTCATATCTTTATAGAAGAATACTTATTATGAAATTACAATTATTCCTCTAGCCCTATGCAGTCAACCAAACATGGCCGAACAAAACTGGTCTGGCTGAACAGAGCTAGTCAATTCAACTAGGCCGAATGGAGGTGATCAAGACAAACAGAGGTGACTGAGTCGAATGGAGCTGGACGGGCTGAATATAACAGGCAAAGTTGACTCAACTGGTTGGACTAAATAGAGCTGGTTTGGGTGAACTAGAGTTAGTCGGGCCGAACATAGCCAGTTAAGTCGAATAGAGCTAGTAGGGCTAGAGCGATTGGAGCGGGACAAGCCAAATGAATCTGATCAGCCCTACTGGAGTTAAGTGAGCAGAAAGGAGCTGGTTAGGCCGAACATAACTGGCCTAACCCAATGGAGTTAGTTGGGCCGACTGGAGCTGACATTATGGTCGGGTCAAATGGAACTGGTCAGTTTTATAAAAACTATCCTAGCCAGGTCAACAGAAGATGGTCGAGTTATGTAGGTTCTTTGAACTACAATGAAGAAGTTTTATCATACATTAGATTGATTTGATTTTCTAGATTCAAACATAATATGTTGAGTTCGAAAATAGTAATTATATGAAATTTTATGATGGATAAGATACTAGATATAATTTCCTTTATCACCTAAAACATTTGAAAGCTAAAGCAATTTACACAACATTTTATGAACTCAATTAAGCAAATTTAAGGCTTCTGTAAAAGAAAGACCCATTCAAGTTGTTTATAAAAAAGAAGCTCAAAACTTTAGATTCTCATTCATTTGGATGTCTATGTCATATCTTAAATAATAAAAAAGATTAATCAATTGGAAAAGTTTGATAAATTTGATTATATAATTCCTCTTGGATATTAATCTCAAAATAAAACTTATAATGTATTTAATAAGCAAACTATTATTATGAAAGAGTCAACACCATATTATAGTTGGTGAAATCAAACCAGATCTATTAGAAATAATGCTAATGATAAAGTTCAAAGTATTAATCTGAATGATTAAAAACATTAACAAATTAAAAATTCAAATCTTCCTAAAGTGCGAGAATGTAAAAAGTTACTCAAAGGATTAAAATCATAGGATTAAAAACTACTCAGTTATACATTGTATAAGAAATACACATCTCACTTGAAAAAAAAACAAATGACAGTAACTTTTTATTTGGTGAGTGCATACTGTACAAGACTATAAAACAGCATGAAAAGAAGGTTAAACCCAAATTCAATTCTGAAACAGACAAACACCTCATCATTATACAGTTATAAAAGAAAAAATAAATAACCCTTGTGCATTTCAAAAATATTAACAAACCAGCTAACCTGTTCCATCATCTTCACTACCACACTTAGTGTGTTTTCACAAGCTTTGGTGTCCATCTTCTCCACACCAACCTCTTCCCCTCTCCCATTTTCAATTCACTCAACCTTCTCTTCAGATCCAACCCCTTCTTTTTACTCTCTTCAAACCCTTCCTCCTGAAGCCCAACTGGCTTCAATGGAGGCTGAGGAGCCCCATTCAATGTGCCGTCCACAATTCTCTGCAACATTTCCATAACTTCAGTCATCCTCGGCCTCAACTTCGCCTGCCGCACAAGGCACCGGTTCGCGACGGTCGACAGCCGCATTGCAGATTTCAGAGAGGAGCGAACGTCGAGCCTCGGATCTATTATCATTCGGAACTTCTTGATGTCGGAGATGTATGGTTTAACCCACTCCAAGAGCTTTTGCTCGTTCTTTGGTCGATTGCGATCAATGGGGCTGCGGCCGGTGATGAGTTCGTAGAGGACAACCCCGAAACTCCATATGTCACTCTTGACAGTGAGTCGACCGGTATGCATGTATTCAGGAGCCGCATAGCCTAGCGTTCCAACGACCTGTTTGGAAAATGCAAATGGGCATTAATTTTGATAAATTATGTAAATATTCAAAAAGTTTAAGAATCGGATTTGTTTCAAGAAAAGGAAACATTAACAATAATCTGATAAAATAATCCATTTTTTTTCCTTGGTACAGAACTTACCGCCGTAGAAACATGAGTTGAACCTTCTTCTGGGCCTTCTCTGGCCAAGCCGAAGTCTGAGAGCTTAGCATTCCACTGCTCGTCCAAGAGAATGTTGGAAGTTTTGAGATCCCGAAATATAATCTGATAAAATAAATGAAAATCAACATCAGCAACTCTCATTGGCAAAGATGATTGCTTCTTTCAATACCAGCAATTCATTACATAAACAGAGAGAAAAATGACATTTGGTTATCTTCTATGACATAAAAAGATAACCTCGAGGCACAAAACAATGAATGAAATAAAAAAAGTCACTTTTGCAGTAGAATACTGTTGATTTGACTCGATATTTTTACTGAATGGTACAACTTGTGTTGCACGACATTGAAAATTGCATGGGATCGATTAATTTTTTCATGCATCATTATCTCGGGGTCATTTTTGCAAAAAATAAAAAAATTAAAAAAATAACTTAGGAATATTCCTTTTGTGGCTATCAAGAGGCTTGTGGCAGATGCTTGTACAAGGGATTGGTTTGATCCACACAGGATGGTTGAAACTGAACATGGCAAGAAAAACTTGTGTTTTGCGAGGTAACGAAGCCATCATAATATACATAATAACATATGAAACCTTATTGGTTCTACCGGGCTCAAGCTTAAATTACTAATTTGATTTTGTGATTTTCTACCTAAAAGTGCAACCAGTGGCTAGGAGAGGAAGGCATCAAAAGTCGTTCTTTTGACAATTATGTATATCTATCACAGAGCATAAGATTATATATCAGCCCTTTGACAATTATTTATACTCTTACTATACTATATAATGGAATATAAATTCAAGAGTCGAATTGTGCAGCCCATTGCTTATAGAAGTTACCATATCAGTGCAGATTCAAATTTTAATTAATAAACTTTTCACTACTTAAAACAAAAGAGAAGTCCAAGATTACTATAATTATAGAGAAAATAACTTATTCTCACCAACTCCCAATATTTTCTTACAAAAACGGAAAAAAATAAATGACCGCTTCTCATGGAACACGAACACTCAATTGTCATGGCATGATGAAGAAAACTTTAGATAAAATGCAAAAAAGATTAATAAGAATGAGTGAATAGGAATATATGTGATTAAGATGAACACTGACCAAAACTACATACAGAAGTAGAGTATTGAGTATGTTTGAGGACTTTATTTTCATTTTTTGTAATACTCTTTCTATTTCAAAACTTTTGCACTATGGATGCATGGGTGTTAATGTCTAGACTAATGTTTAGGAAATGTGACATTCTCATCATTCAATGCTACTTGTTTCAGGCCTCGAACTGAATTATTTCTGATAATGTATAAATCTTGCGCTGCATAATGCAAAATGCAAAATTGTAGCAAAAACCTAATAGATCGGGCTATGAAACTAACAGCATCTTCAAAATCATTTAACATTCTGCAGCAAGCCAAGCTAAACTTTTCGAGAATAAGTTAATATTTTTCAATCTGATTATAATTATAAGGCATAGTAAGAAGTGAAAAAATTGGAAATATATAAATTCACCAAGTCACAGCTGCAGAACTGAATTATTTTATTATCACACATACACACACACACACACACACACACACACACACACACATATATATAAATTCTTGCTGCTAAAGGAGATAATTAGATTGAATTTAGTTTAAATGCTAAAATTGCAGAAATAATTGGGACTTAAAAAGCCTAGTTAACATAAGAAAGACATGAGGACAAGACAATAGCATACATTTAAATGGACGACAAAGCATCAAATCCTTATATCATTACATCTTCATTAGCTTATCCCGACTATCTATTGCTTTCCGTATGAACCTTGTCCTTCATCTATTTCTTTTGCATGTTACATGAGATATTTGTACAAGTATTTTTGCACAACTACCTGTCATGTTACCTAAATATGCATTTTTTCTTTATAATACTCTGCACTCATTCTACCTCTAATCTTATTAGTACATCTCCTCTAGTTAATTATTCATGACAAAACCATCTAAACTATATGATTTTAAATAAATTTCCTCTAATTTGGTAAGAGAGAAATTAATCAACATACCCCTATGAAAGCATCTGTTTTTTTTTTTTTTTTTTGTGCACAAATTGGTAAAATATAACCACTAAGGAATGGGTAGCAGCAAAACAAAACTTGAGCTAAGAATATGTACCTGAAAGTCCATTCCTTCGTGAAGATACGACAAGCCACGAGCAGCATCAAGAGCTATCCTTAATCTCATCGGCCACGAAAGAGGCATGGTTGATCGGGCTAACAGATGATCCCCAACACTTCTATTAGGCATGTACTCGTAAATAAGAAGCCTCTGAGGCCCCCTTTCATCTTCTTCAGCACAATAGCCAATTAACTTAACAAGATTTGGATGCTCAACAATGCCGAGAAAAGTTACTTCTGTCAACCATTCTTTATGCCCCTATGTATCATAACCAAATGTGAACAATCATTTAACTGAACATGTAATATTTTAATAATTTGCGCAAGCACATTATCACCTTCATAGCATTAACCCAGTTAGGATTCCCATATAGTTAAATTATAGGAGTTGCATAAGTTCATGAAAATGTTGCATGTTTGGCAAATAAAATAATTAAGAGATGGGAGAAATGCATTGTATACAAATATATACACCTTGATTTGATTCCAACTCCATATTTCAATTCAATTAAAGAAATTGCCATAATTGCCAATAAAATATTTTGAACCGTCATCATATATATAAGAATTTTGCAGCATGTATGTAAAAATACGATATATTAGATTCTTAAAATTCAATAGAAAAATGTTTGTAAGGAGAAACGTAATGCGTTCTACATAAGTAGCTTAAATATGGAAATTAAAGTAAGGGATAGGATGCAAGAGTATAAAAGGGAGATGAAAAGCTTAGGTTTCATGTTAGAGTTTGGATTAGGCATCTCACCTACATTACTAGTTCATTTGAAAAACATAATCAGTGCCTACAATGCACCATATGATATTATTAATAAAAAAAGTTAAAGGCCAGCTTGGGATCACTTTTGTTTTTTGTTTTATATATATTTTTAAAATTTTATTTTATCTATGTTTTGGTTTGAAACAAAATATATTTGGCATATTTGATTAAAATATTATTGTTTTTAAAAACACTCAAAACAACTAAAAATTTAGTTTGAGTATTATCAAAAACATGTTAATTTAGTTTTAGAAACAAAAAATAAAAATATGTAAAAAAATACATTAAACAAACATGTTTTTAAAAACAAAAGAAAACAAAAAAATAAAAACAAGAAACAAAATTGATCCCAAACAGGCTCTATGTTACCAAATGCTGCTTTCTTCAACACTTTGTTTAGCTAGCAAACAATGCCACATCGAGGAAAATTTGTAAGTACAAATGTAGCAAAAAAAAATATATATTAAATCAATTAACATATTATCGTGGCAGTGTTATTTTTAATCAATTAGCACATTACTATTGCAGTGCTACACTTGCTTCCTTGAGGATTATGACTGAAGATAGAGTTAACTATAAAAATGGAATTGTTTCACAAGCATAGCTAGTGGAATAGCTATGCTAAGAGGTACAACTTAACAGGTAAAACATAGACATCAACAATTATGTAATTTCCCACCCTCATCATTGGTTTTGGGTTATGATTGAACAAATAATGATGATATTGTCAAAACATCACTATATGCATGAGTTATAATGGAATTGGTAAATTCTCAAGAAATTGAGTGCATAAAAGGGTCAAGTGCAGTGTTAGCATTTAATTTTCGAGCAAAGTTGCCTATCAATAATTGAGAAAAAAGAGAACCTTATTGTTGATTTAAATATCAACAATCTCATCCACTTTTCTTCTTCGTAATCTCGAGTCCCTACATTCCTTCCTTCTGGCCATAAGGCTCTATGATAATACTCTTCTTGAAAATTATACCTCTCCATATTGCTTGACATACAGATTATTATCATTTAACTTTATATATAAAACTAAACGCTTCATACAAAAATATAAAATGAATATATATGTAGCACACAATTCTTATTTATTTACATATATCACACTTAAACTTCCATATTTACATACATAAAACTTTGGTGCTTTTTTAACCTATGCATGAAAATGTGTGTTTCACTTTTAAAAAGTGATCATAGTGCTAATTTTGATGTGTTATTAAAGATTTGAGTTTGTGTGTATAAATATGAAAGTTAAGGTGTAAGATATGTAAATACATAAGAATTGTGTGCTTTGTATGTAAATGCTTCTTTTATTTTTTATCAAGCCTGTTCCGGCATTTGCTTGCAAAACAAACACAATCTGCTTTTCTTTATATTAGCCAAATGGATGGGTTTCCTGTTTTTTAGTATTTTGATATAAACATTTGATTAGGTTTACTTTTTTGCATGAATCAAAAAGTTAAATTCAATTCCCCTCTCTTCGTCTGTCTCTCTCCAGCCTACTTCATTATGAAGTTCATTTAATCATTGGGGATGTTGCAACTCATTTCTAACGCTCTACCAGCAAGATGAGTAACACTTTCATTCAACATGAGAAACACTGCTTTCTCCGTGGGGAAAAGCTTCACGATTCTTTCTGTATATTAGGTTTTATTATATCTACTGTATGTTATCATTTTCATTTCATTCTTTTCATTACTTTCATTATTCAAGGAGCTTGCATTTTTGTATTACGAGGCATTCACATACATAAAACCCAATTCTTAGGTATTTACATAACACCTAAACTTTGTTTTTTTAACATTTATATCAGCTATATCTTTCATATCACATCAAAAATACCACTATTTTAACCTGTAATAAATGAGATGCACGTTTTCAGGTATAGGCAAGGTGGCATATATGTAAAAGTTGAAGTTTAGGTGTAAGATATGTAAATACATAAGAATTAAGTGATACGTATGCAAATCTTCCTATAAAGTTCCATGGAAAACTAAAGCTGAAAAGAACAGTACAGGAGACTTCATCCTTAAGAAGATTCACCTGTAACCCTCTCCGGCCTAGCTGTTTCACTGCAATTTCAATCTTAGAATTTGGGTCATCAGAACCCCTAATTGTTCCCCTATAAACGCATCCAAAGCCACCTTCTCCAATCATTACTGAACGACTAAAGCTTTTTGTGGCATTCTTAAGTTCAGTAACAGAAAAAACTCGCAGATTGCTTGCTCTCTGAGAGAAACTCTGCAACCGAGACCTCCTTCTCGAATCAGCGCTCGTGTCGGATGTGGCTAATGAGCTGATCTCAGATCCTGATCTCTTGACATCAGGATCAGTCGAGGTTGTGCTACAGGATCTAATTGATGAAGATTTTGTGCATTGAAGATCTTCTTTCTTTTCTGATATAATGAAATTGAAGCACTTCATAGCTAGCTCCCCCCAGGATTGATTTTAGACCTTATTCTGCACAATCAAATAGGTAGAGATATAAGGAAACATCTTCACAAATTATTTTAATAAATCAAAATATTATGACCGCAGAAGAAAAAAAAGGGGTGTTGAGGGAATTACAAGCCTTTTGATCTTTCAAAGAAAATCATATTTCAGATATTTAAGTTAGGATTTCACATAAATCCTGCCAAACGCAAAAAACAGGGAGTTAATTCCGAAACTTCGCTAAATCCATTATCTTCTCCTCAACCAAAATCCTAGTTTTCTTAAATCTGATGAATAGGCGGATTTAACGGTTTTAAGTAGGAAGGCTTCTCTCATCGCACGGACGGGAGGAGGAGACAATCACCAAATATTGCGAAGGGATTTAACCTAAATCATACCAAACATCTTTGTGGATTTAACACATTTGGATTTGATAAATCCGGATTTACATATTTACTAAATCCTATTTAACTTAACTGTTCCGTGCAGCCAAACACCCCTTAGTTCAAGAGCAAGTTGAGCGGAAGCTACGAAGCTCAATTTTGAATGGCTTGCCCCAAAACCACAGTGATTTTACTGACGATCATCAAAGAAAGTACACAAAAATCATCGGTTAACACGTTGCTTTCACACAAAAGTTACCAAAAGAAAATCAAATTAACAAAACATAATCATACTGTTCCTAAGAGGTTTCGAGCTAATTAACACTTATAAAAACAGCCCCATGCAACAATTCGAAAAGATTTCAGGCTTTTCAGAGCTTTATACTTCATTTTGTCTTTAAAAAAGGTTAATCTGAAACTCCAAAAAATAAAAAAAAATAATAAAAAAAAGAGAGATTCTGCTTAAGAACTCACCTCAGGATCCCAACCAAATCATTGAAGAAAGACCGTCGCCCCAAGGTATGGAAAACCCTAACACTTAATAAGCACTAAAACAAACATCGTTTTCGCCAGCCCACCAAGAATCCTCCCCAAAATACATTTCATTTGCAGATTTTGAACTTAATAAAACAAATTCCCTCTGTGTTTGCTAAATTTAACATCACCCCCTTAACCATTTTTAAAACCCTGAAGAACAAATAAAGTATAATACCTGCGAACTACGGAATCTCCCTCGGGGTTAAGATCCTCAAAACCCTAAAGAATTCATGCTCGGCAGATGGAGATCGATTTCCGATCACCTAACAGAACGCGATCCATCTGCCAGGTATCAAGTGGAAGAGCAAGAGCAAGTCCCTGATAGCGAAGGTGTAACGTTTGTCAGAGCGCGGGCTTTCCACAGATGCACGGCAAGGGCCCGCACGTTGACACAAGTGAGATTATTTGATGTGACCATTTCTAAATTACTAATTGGAATATTTGCATGCATACCCCACATTTCCTATATATTTAGATTTGAAACAAGATATTAAAGACATCTAAATACATAAAAGTTTTGTGATGTATGTGTAAAATTCTTTTATTATTAATGTTAATAAATTGTATTAATATCATTTTCATTTTTATTAAATGTCTATCTATTTATTAACATTACTTTTTGTTTGTCTTCGAATTTTGATATTCGAGTGGGAAATTAAAAAATGGAGGAAAGAATGGGGGCTAATATGTAAATAGCGAGTTTTTTTGGTGGGTTTTATGTAATTGCCCTTTTTTTTTATATATGGAAGATACATGAATGATAGCTTATAGAGATGTTAATTTTATTCTAAGTGCATGGTTGGTACATGCATGGTAGCCTTTAGGCATGGAGAAATCAATACAAGGGTTGATCACCTTTTGGGAAGTTTTAACAAAGACTTTCGAGTAGAAAGCATAATGATCTCATCCACAATCATTTGTAATCTAATGATGTAAGAAAAATCTAATATTTATTATAAAAAAAAGCACAAATGTCAATAAAATGTGTATTTAGCTCAATATAAAATTTATTTTCATACCATATTTTTATATTATTTTACATGATATATGAGATTGTATGATATAATTATTTTTCATAATGATTGTTGCGTGTGGGGTAGAGTAATAAATTAGCATTTTGGCGTTGTATGTAAATCCATCACGTAGAGTTAATAGCAAAGTGATTGGACGAGACACCGAGATTTTTATATGGAAAACCTGGAGAGAGAACAAAAATTGAGGCCTGGTCCAGTCGAAGAAATGAACTATGTAACTGTGAGTACATAAGTCTTTTGACATCCCTTTTGATGTCATATGTGTGGAGTGTCCACTTGGACGTTGTGGGAATGTATTTCTCATGATTCACTGTCTCCTGTAATCCAAGATATCCATTCAGACCTCCTGATATGTGTATCGCGCACGGAATTACGATAAATACTAATTTAGCCCTACCTTGGGACGCTTACCGTTGGGTGATGATGATTCTGACACAAGACTTATTCAATGTCCATTATGGTGTTTAAAGACAATGTTTCGCCCATTGGGAGTCTCCCACAGGCGAGGACAATCACAGGGCTCTCTCAATTACATTTCGGGAAATCTGGTTCAAACCAACCCACCCGTGCTCATGGGCCCGAGATGTTTTTTGGCACTAAAACTCTCAATTTGAAACCTCTGGATTATTCGTTACTGAGTTATAGGGTCATATTTTAAGGATATATGGTTTATCGTAGCTTACGGATCAGTGAAAACCTTTCTACAGACATCCATGCGCAAAATTGCAAATTTGACCGTTGGGGTCATACTTGGCCCTGGGTGATGATTTTTGCTCGATACAACACAACCTTGGCGTCCACCGAAAAAGGGGATAACTTATTTTCACTCCTGGAGAGATTCTGGAAGTATAGAGATCCAGAAAAAGTAATCCTGGCGAATACACACACACACAAGAAGTAAATGAGACAAGCCCCCTTAATGGGCTTGGGCACAAAAGTTCGCTATGTTTGGGGCCTCATAAAGAGGCGCCACTTACTACATGTTCGCTCAAGCTCTAATGGGGGCGCTTTTGAGTTTGCCTCTTTTTCTGCGATAAAGATGATCGTGATATTGGCCTATGGGTACTGAAGCACCCGTCCAGGACGCTTAAGCGCCCAATTTTATTTTTGTGACATTCACCAAACCGAGTCAAATCCACTTCTACACCACTGTGGCCGCTTTGTACCAGATAGGGAAATGTCGTAAAGAGATCAACGGGCGCTTTTTGCGCCCGTTTCAGCGCTCGAGCGATGAAGTTTCGAAATGCGACAATTTGACCCAGTGGACCATTTTCTTCGCCTAAAACTCATTGGATAAACTTCCATTGCACCCCATTTCATGGTTTTTAACCCAAAAATAGGAAGAAGTGGGAGCCAACCCATTACAATTTGCGGTAAGTGTCATTGATTCATTGCGTGGTGCATAATAAATAGGTTAAGCGGGCATAGTCGTGCGAAAATCAGGGGATCGTCATTTTCATTTTGTGGAGGCCTGAGGAGAGCGCTGAGAGAGTTCTTGAGAGCTTTTGGAGAGTTGTGAAGGATCTCTTCTTCTCCTTCTTCATATTCTTCATTCTTCTTCTTCCTGATCATCTCTTGCTGAGGGAGAGTTGAGAGGGGGTTTTTGGATGTTTCTTCCTCCTTCCTCCTCCCTCCTCCCTCCTCACCCTCTTTATTTTTTCACTTTATTCTTCTACCTTATCGTCTCCGGCCCCAACATTCTCATTTTCTAGAGGAAAATCAAGAAAATGCAAAGGAATTTCTTGGAGTTGTTCATCGATTCAACTATATGGTTGTCAAATTTAGAATCCAATTGACCATCAAAAACTTTAAAAAAATTATTTAACAACTTAATTCATTTGACAACCAAAGTTGATCTAATATAAATCAATGAATCTAATTGGGTCCGACCCGTCGAGTCGGTCGGCTTGATTGTATGTTTGTTAAAATCGAAGTGTTGAGTGATTTTTATTTGAGTGTCAATATTTCTCGTTAAGAAAATGCTTGAAATTCATTTCACGCCTCCAGATTAATATCAAATGATACAAATTTGCTGATAAGGTATCAATGATATTTATATTAAAATTTACTTAAGCACATTAAATAATGTCATGCCTTCATTCATAATATATAGATAACTATAAATCCTTCTTTAGACATGAATGATATTTAGAATGTTTTTTTTCTTTTGTTTGTGAGATGAATGTTGAGCATTGGGATAGTTTAGCGCTCATGGTGCTTCATCTAACTATTAAATCTTTCTTCTATCCTATTCTCATCATTCTTTATTTAATAATCTCTATACCTCCTCTATTTGCTATTAATTATTTAACACTAGACCCAACATCCCATCTATCATCTTCCGCCCAATATTCCAAGAGTCGTAACAAAAGCTTTGATCTGCCGAAACGACTACCATCCAACCAAAAACGTTGAAAGCTATAAAGACTTTTGTAATGAAGGAAGAGTTAAATACATATCATTAAATTTCTATGTATAAATTTTAATTTTTACATATTTACACCCTCTTATCCAACAAAAATTATTCCGTGCAGACACCGTATGGAGAGATAGATGCTGTGTCCGATCTCCGCCGTCCACCACTTTAGTAAGACCTTTCAATTTTTTTTTTAAAAAAAAAATCTCACTGAAGCCGTGATGGACAGCGGAGATCGAACACAGCAGAGATGCATCTCTGCATGCGGTGTCCGCACGGAATAATTTTTACTTATCCACACACTAAAAGGTATATTTTACCTTCTAAACATTAAAATAGCTGTATTTTTTATGTAATATGGAAGATTTGGACTTTCTAAATAGAATAATGAAACCTTGAATGATCATCAATAGCTTGGCGACTTCCATGGGGGAACTAGGACAAAAAGTTTTTAACAATATACAAAGGATGAATCTACTCCCCCCACACCTAACTTCCCCCTAAAACCAGCACTACCTCTCATATAAATGATCTGTAATCAATATCACATCATACCATTGAAACCCAATTCCTTCATTACTTAACATAAGATAGATACAAAGAACACACTTAGAGACCAAAACATCTCAGCCCACAAAATCATGAAGCATTTGATGTCCAAAATGCCTCATCTGCTGCTCCTGCTGGAAGTCTTCTCCTTGCCGGAGTCCAAGAGTTAGCGAAACGGCACTGAGGCTGCCGATCTCCATTCCGCCCTGGTATGCGAAGCTCATCAACCCTGCATCCATGGCGCAATCTTCGATCCTGGACCTCTTCTCCTGATGCCACTGCTCCAAGCAATGCGAACTCTTCTCGATGGTCGCTGTGCCAGAAGCAGAAACATCAACATGTTTGCTCGACTGTGCTTCCAATTGTTGATTGATCGAAGCTTGGTGGATGGTTTTGGTTGAAGAGTTCAGGTCCATTCCCGCGATTCCTTTAGTCTCGAGCGTGTGGATCTCTTCAACCATCGGCTTCCACAATCGGACTCGCGCATTGATGAACCAATTCGAGACCTGCATTGTGAAATACAATAAAATGTGATGCCAATTAAATTTCTAAAAATTCTGAGAAATGCATGTAAATTCACCGAAAATATTTCATCCTCGCCAAGATATTGCTCCATGTAGATACTAATACAGAGCGAATAAAGCATATAAATCTAATACAAAAACATATTTTTGCTGCCCTGACAATGATTTCTGAAGAAAAAAGATTTAGAATTACTATGTTTCTAATCTCACATGGAGTGTAACAGTTTGGCTAATTTCTGACTATAGTCAACAAGAAAACTGTAGTCAAACTGCACCCTAAAATCTTTGTGCTCCGTAAACTTTTGTTTGTCAAAAAGGTTACAGGACGAATAAATGCTATGAATGGGAAAGTTCTCAGAAAACCTGTAGCTATAGCCATTGTACCAGGCCAATTGACTCAAGTCAAAACTCAGTTCAGTTTCCAATAAATACAGCACATCAAAGTTGACCTTAAGTCAACACTCGTTTTTCCAATAATCAAAGGTTTTGAACCAAATTGATATCAGAAGTGGAACCAGCGTAACAAACAGGGGCATTTACATACATAATACCCAATTCCTACGTATTTAGATAGCTAACATCTAAACTTCGTTTTTCATATTTATGCCAGCCAAATATTTCAAAAGCATCATTATTTTACTTCTAGAAAAATGGAATGCGCCTTTTAATGCTTGGGTTAGGATGGGCATATATGTAAAAATTAAAAGTTTTGGTATTAGATATGTAAATACATATGAATTTAATGGTCTGCATGCAAATCTTCCAAACAAAAACCATAAAAATGAGCAGAAGAGACATCAAAGAGAGAAGTTACCTGGTTCCTGGACAGCCCTGTCTGAGTTGCCAGCATGTGCTTGTCAGTATCAGTTGGATACCTAAAAAACCAAATTACAGAACTTATAGAAAAGAGTGAAGTTGAATTCCCAATATAAATTTAATTTTAAATTTCAATATTTAACTTAGTTGTTTGAAAAATTACAGTTTATTATAGAAAATAAGAAAAGTGTCAAAATAATCGTGACTATTTTGGTAAGGATTATTTTAGTCCAATCTATAAAAATGTAGATTTAATTATAGACTCCTTAAAGATGGGTTGAAATAGTCATAACCTGTGTGTAAAACCGGATCGAATTGGCCGATAGTCCAGTTCGGTCTACCTTAAAAATCACCCCATAATCGTGATTAATCTGGGGAGGATCATTTTAATTCCAATCTATTTAAAATTCCAATCTATTAAAATGTAAATTTAATTATAGACTCCTTAAAGATGAGTTGAAATAGTCCTAACCTGTGTGTAAAACCGGATCGAATTGGCCGATAGTCGAGTTCGGTCTACCTTCGGCATCAAATGAGATTGAACCGGTTCAAACTGACTTTGAACCAGGAAAAACTGATCAGTTTGACCCCTAAACTGAAAATTATATTTTCACATATATACCATCAATTTTATGTAATTTACATATCTAACGCCTAAACTCTATCTTTCACATTTATACCACGCAAATCACTCTTATCAAATCAAAAACATTATTATCACAAAGAGATTCAATTTACATACATACCACCCAAGTTTATTTAGTTACATATCTAACACCTAAACTCTATTTTTTTTTACATTTATACCACCAAAATCATCAATATATTTTTCATGCATAGATAAAATGACATGTTAAAATTGAATTTTAGGTATTAGATATTTAGATACATAGAAATTGAGTATTATGTAAATCTTATATATTGTCATTTTTAAATATATTTATATATTTATGATTTATTTATTAAGTCATCCAGTTGAATCACGAGAAACCTTTGAATCTTGAACCTCTCCTACTAATGATTTAATGTCCAGTTCGATTTCTAGAACCTTACTCCTAACAAAGGACTACGTCGACCCTCTATTTAAAAAATCATAGGACTAATTCTTTTAGCCAGCCATCCACTCTTCAGCTAATTTCACATATTTTCATTCAAATTAAAATGCAATAAAAATCTTAAAATGATTATAGCGTATGTAAAGGACAATGTTAATGATAAATCTCTTTTAAGATTATAAAATATAATAAAAATTTTAATAAAAAATAGATTAAAATAGTAATATGAACACCCGAAGATAGATTTACATTTAAATTGGTGTGATGTGCAATAAATTCAAACCAAAAAATCAATACATTTACGCGCTGAGACTCATGTTTGACTTAGATGTGACATTTATACGCAGAGTGTGACATTCATCTTCTACCCACTTATAAACACATTCTACAACTCCTGAAAATAAATTATTTTTCCAAAGATAAAATATTTAGGTGTTTGGCTGTCTTTAAGATTTATGTTGAACAGAATTTAGTAAATCCGATTCCAAATGTTGTAAATCCATAAGGTGTTTGGTTCAATTTAAGGTTAAACCTATTAGATTTGTTTACCGTAATTGGCATAATTTCTTTCTTTTGATTTTCTTCCTAAACTAACTATGTTAGATCCATAGAATAATCAGATGTAATGAATTTGAATTTACGTTAAACCGAGAGGAAGGTTAATTGGATCTAGAGAAGTGAGGATTTAATTTCTCCAATTTTTTTTTGTTTGGCTGATTTTATGTAAGTTGTGCGTAAATTCTGCTCAAATCCGGCTACCAAACAGCCCCTTGGGATAAATAACTTACTGTTGATAGAAATAACCTATGTTATCCAAAGTGACTTGCATCATTCTTAGCTATAATATTAAAGAGAAATTAAATACACAACACTTGAAAAATCACTATTTACAAATATAACACTCACTTTCATCTATTTTTCAAATTCTCAATCAAATATAAAAAATCACACTAAAACCCCAACTCATGTTTTTCATTTTTATTAAATACTCAATGGTTTAATCATGGCAAGTGTGATTCGGTAATTCAAAAATATTATATGTGTGCTAATTATACCCAATATTTCTAGGAATTTAGAAAACTTGTTGCAAGAATAAAATGATATGTTAATCTTTTGTCCTGCAGTGTGGAGCTAAAGGGTTCGTTTTTAACTTCAAAGCTTAAGCCAATAAAATAATGTGAGTCAATCATATTTTTAAATCTTCACACAAAAGGATAAACATGCAACAAAAAAGGTTAAATAGTGCAACTTACGGATGAAGGAAGTGATCAAACAACCATGCTCTCAAAACGGACACTGCTCTCTCAGGAAGGCCTCTCTGAGGCCGCCATATGGGGTGGCTGTTATCCGAGAAGCTGATGCTGCTGTCACCACCGCCCTTCTGCCGTCGAACACTCTGGGCGATGTATTTTAGCTTTGAAACTGTCAAGGTGTCATTTCGACTGGAACAAGGAGACGAAGCCATCATCTCCTCGCCGAGGATGTTACATACGTGCCTGAGCTGATCGGATATTGCGCTCTTCAAACATCGAAAATGCTTTGAAACAGCTTTTAAGGCTAGGGAAGCATAAGGTGTGGCTGAGCTCAGGCCGGCGACGGATTCAAACGAGGAAACCACCATTTGAATTTGTTGGTGATACTGCTTATATCTTTTGCAAACCTAAGAAAATACAGATGATTATAATCTATCCATTCAAACATGAGAAGTAAACAAAAATGAGATGCGAGATATTAGAACAAGATGTCATTTAATGTTAACAAATAGAAAAAAGGCACCCATGAAAGAATTGAAATCAATATATTTTAAATATATCTGAAAATTCAATATAACTGGATTGACAATACTCAAATTGGACAATTTGGAAACCTGATTAAGAAAATATATAGAAATTCAAAAAAAAAAAAAAAAATAGAGCAAATAGAAATGTGAGATTATCCTAAAATCCCATGTCCACTGCATTTAATCAAACGAAGCCCAACCTTTAGAACAGGTTTATATCACTTTTGGATTCAACATAAATTGACAAGAATTTCGTCATGACACAAATAAATCAAGCCACAAAACGCTAAAATAGGCTGAAAAGAAAGTAAATGACACCGATATGATCCCACCCACCTTCATGAAACTTATGATGATTTTCAGCAAAAATATGTAACGTGACCATAATTGAAATTTAGAATTCTCTTCCAAGTTGTTTTACACATGCAGAGGAGCATGTAGGTGAGATGAACTGATTTAAAATCAAGTGTTAAGACAAGAAAAAACTTTTCTCACTGACCTGAATTGCAAAGAAAAGATCCAGCAATATCAGGAGGAAGGCGCAATGACGTCATTGCGAGCTTAAATGGGGGAGAGTGTCTCACTTCACCATCTTAAGAATACTTAGCAAGCCAACCATAGAAAAGAAGATTCTAGAGAATATCAGAAAGAGGAAAGCAATCCAAGAGACTCTAGAAAGTTCCGCCGCATTCCAGAGAATGTTGGAAGAAAAAAGCTTCAAGGAAAACTCCAGGATAACCTAAAAAGTTCTAAAATCATGTATATGTTAAATGGGCAATGTAGAACTATCTAGAAATTAATCTATTCTAATGTAATCTAGAAAATTCCCTAGGGCTTGGGGAGGACTATAGATAGCAGCCCCTCGCCCTCATTTGTAACAATCCAAAATTTTTAAGCAACGAAGTGTGTAGTTTCTCATTCCTTATTAAAGTATTCATTTCTTCAATAACTTCTCCTTACTTCTTTTCTAGAGAGCTTGATGCTTCCAAGTCCAAACATTGTGAGTGTTAGGTTGATTTAGTGCTCGGGAAGAGCACTAAAGCTGCATAGGTGACTTGAGAGAAGTTTGATCGTGATAGTTGATATCCGAGCGAAGATTAAGGGAATGACAAAAAATCTCAAAGATCATGTCATGGAGTTCGAGCCAAAAAATGTGAAACCAGCTCAACAAAGACGAGGCCGTGAGGAACAACGGGATCCCGCTGCATCCAAACCATATGGGAGGTCTAAGGTTCTCAAATATGGCTTTGATTCACGACTTGCTTGGGTTGAGGAGGCTATGAATGCCATGGAGGCCAGATAAATGATCTAGGCCAGAAGGTGGACGATTTTGAAGAGGACATGACCATCCATTCCACGATCAGAGATATGATGCTCCAACTGGATCCTTGAAAGACCAATTGGCGAAGATGCAAGAAGACCTAATGGGGGAGCTCCATGATGTACAACGATCTCATGAAGGAGAGAAAAAAAAAAACATACGCGGCAGCTTGAAGGAGATGCTTGAAGAGGTATCGTTATGCAAGTGAATACTAACGACAACAATCAATCACCATACATTCGAAGCCAAGTGTATCAAAGTGCCAAAGCCTAAGAGTTTTGGAGGAGCTCGCAATGCCAAAGAAGTAGACAACTTCTTATTGGGACTTCAGCAAAATTTTGGAGGATTAGGTATTACCGATGAAGACTCTTTATTTCTCTAACACCTAAGGCCGCCAAAAAAGCTTGTTTGCAAAAAGCTCGTATTCAGCTCGTTGAATAACTCTTGTTCGTCTCGTTCGTTAAGTAAACGTGCCAAACACAAATTTTTTAAGCTCGAATTATTAACGAGCCGAACATGATCAACCCTTTGTTCGCTCATGTTCGGCTAGTTTTAGCTAAAAAAAAAGAAATTATTTATATTATTTATATAATAATATATTATATATATTATTTAAATAATAATATATTATATAAATTTATATCTAAGTTTAAATCATAACAGCTCGTAAGGTCATGTAGTTTTACGTCTTCTATTACTCAGTGTTGATGCAGGTTTGAATCCAACACCCTACATATATTTTTTTCAATTAGTTTTAGCAAGTCAATTTAGAACACAAGTTGATTTCGAACACGAGCTCTCTCAAGCTCGGCTCGGTTACAACCCTACCAACAACGCAATGCTATTGCGGAAAAGAAGGCGACCAGACATGGAGAAATGTGCGCACCATATCTACCTTTGATTACTTCAAGCAAGAACTCAAAAGACAATTTTATCATGAGAATGTGAAGGATTAGGCTAGAGTCCAATTGCGAAGGCTAAAACAAGCAAGATCGATTCTGGAATACATTAATGAGTTCACTATTTTGGTTTTTGAAATACCTCACATGCCAGACAAGGTTGTTCTCTTCAACTTTATGAATGGACTGCAACCATTGGCAAAGATGGAGCTTAAAAGGCGTGGAGTGCAAAACCACGCTACTCTCATTGCCTTAGTTGAGAGCTTCATTGACCACGCAAAGGAATCCACAATGCCAAGAGATGAGAAGAGTGCCTACGTCAAAGGTGAGGGAAATAAGGGCCAACACAAAGAAGAGACTCGTTACGAATCATCCTCATTCAAGGGTAAATTCAAATGAAAACAAAAAGATAACAAAAACAAGTCATATAACAATTGCTTCCTTTGTGATGGGTCTCAATGGGCAAGGGATTGTCCTCAGCCTTAAACGCTATACAAGCAAGTCATCATGAAAAGAAAGAGGCAAGAAGAGATAATATTATAGCACAAGTAGGGTCTATGCAATTGCTGAATGGGATGCAAACTTCAACAAAACCACAAGAAAGATTTACTCTTTGTGGAGATTTTAATAGGTGGAAAGACTATCGGAGCAATTTTAGACACAGATGGTTCTCACAACATTTCCATTGAAAAAGCACAAAGGATATGGCTACAAGCAATAAGGCCAATTCATGGGATAGCCAAACGAGTAAAGACTAATATTGGGGCTTGGTTAGGTAGATTGGACTTCTCTGTCATTCCTAAGTGATTTTGAAGTTGTTCTAAGGCTAGATTCTTTGGATCAAGTAAATGCATTCCCAATAACCTTCGCCATTAGCATATGCATCATGGAAAACAATCAAGTTTGCCTAGTACCAACAAGAAGGGCTAACAAGCAAGAAACTAAAATGTTATATGTCATTCAATTCACGAAAGGTAACTGACAGGAAGAGGAAAACTACTTAACTATTCTTTATGACTCAAATAATGAAGAACGAAAGATCCAAGAAGATATACCAAGAGAGGTAGCAATGATAATATATAAGTTAAAAAAAGTGTCACTTACAGAATTACCAAAGGAGCTACCACCAAGAAAAAAAGACCAAGATCAGAATAGCTTAGAGCTAAGGACTAAGCTGCCAGCCATGAATTCTTACTGCATCTCCACTCTTCCAAACAACCGGTTATGAATGAATAAGCCCAACAATTTTCAAGTTTTACCAAGTCTGAGGGTAAACAAAGGGAGTTGGTCCGAGTGTCACTGCTTAAGACTACAAGGACTATACAAAGGGCTACCAAAAAAAAGAGATGGACAGCGTAGAAAAGATACATTAGGAGGAATCCCTAACCAAATACCAACAACAATGATCACTTCTTTTGATAAGAAAGAGAATGAAATACATGTTGATCAGGCCAATCACCAAGAAGGGGCACCAAATTATAAGAAATACCTCATTGAATGGAAATGATTACCTGATAGTGAGGCCAGTGCGAACATGAAGATACATCGTCATCGTAATAAAGAAAATATCCAACAGTATCAATGGAAAGGTGCAATAAGGATATTGTAAGCTTAAGTGGGGGAGAGTGTCACACTGTCATCTTAAAAGTAGTTAACAAGCCAACCATGGGAAAGAAGATTCTAGAGATGGCCGGAAAGAGAAGAGCAAACAAAGAGATTCTAGAAGGTTCCGCCGCACTCTAGAGAATGTTGGAAGGAGAAATCTTTAACAAAAACTCTAGGATAAGATAGAAAGCTCTAGAATCATGTATAGATTAAAAGGGAAATGTAGAACTATCTAGAAATTAGTTCATTTTAATGTAACCTAGAAAGTTCTCTAGAGCTTGGGGAGGACTATAAATAGAAGTCCCTTCCCCTCAATTGTAACCATCCAAAGTTTCTAAACAACCAAGTGTGTAATCTCACATTCCTTAGTGAAGTGTTTGTTTCTTCAAAAACTTCTTTAACTTTTTTTCTAAAGATTTTTGTGCTTCTAAATCCAAGCGTTGGAAGTGTTAGGTTGATTTAGTGCTTAAGAAGAGCGCTAAAGTTGCACTGGTGACTTGAGAAAAATTTGTTTGTGATAAACTGCTCTAAAAATCATGTCCATATATTGAAATTATAAGCCCTTTCAAAAAAAAAAAACAAATTCATCAATATGTTGTATGCATGCTCTCAAGTTGGTTAATCTAAAATGGTCGCGAATTCCACTTTTTCATAAGCTCTTTCAAAATAAAAAAAACAAAAAATCAAACTCATAAAATATGTTATATGCATGCTCTCAAATTGGTTACTCTAATATGGCCGCGAGTCCCACTCTCCAAACCTGATCTCTCATGTCCCAACCACTGTAGTCGAGCTTCCTGTTACTGACAGCCCTCCAAGGTATGTCTTTGTTGTCAGCCCTTTCAAGTCGGTTCTTGCTGTTGTCAGCCCCTCCAAAGCTTGTTTCTGTTGTTGTCCAGCCCACTGCCTACTCTTACTGCTATTGTCTAGTCCCCATACACCTATTCCTATTATTGTCCAATTCACTGTCACCGCTCCTACTCCCTTTGATGCCGACACCACTTGTGGTTAGTCTCCTTCCAGCAGCTCCAATTATTCCTACACTATATAGCGCCACAATCACCAGCTGCCATCCACTTTACAACACAATCACAACATCCTTCCACCCTTTCAGGTCTGTCGTTCTCCACTAGAGAGCCATTTGTGTTTGTAATGGTTTTTTTTTTTTTTAAATTTGCAGTGTCTTCATTGTCACATACCGTTTGTATGTGTGTTGTTTTATGTTGAAGATTCGTCGTTGTAATTTTTGAACTCTACAATAAATTTGTGGATTGGTCGTGATTTGGATTAATTTTGGTATCATTTGATGTTAGAGCGAACCCAACCCTAACCCTATCCTAGGATTTCTTAATGTCAACCTTACCCCCCCCCCCCCCCCCTCCCCCCAACTTGAAGCTTACGCCTCGCCTCACGAATGAAAAACGCTTTACTACTAAATTGCACAATCAATCAACCACTAGAACTGTGACCATTCATACACTATAATACGAATGAAAAACCCCTGAGATATTAATTAATGTATAGATAGATGGAAATAATTCCATTCGAAACAAAGTACATAAAAAATAAATGTATATGCGCATTCACACATTATAAATTCGAATACTTCAATTCAATCTCAAGTTACAGCTAGCGTTAATCCAGATTAGCTCAATTCAAGTTTGACTCTAGTCAAGGCTAGCTTATCAATCAACATATTGAATTCAATCCTAATTGAATCGAAGACCAAAAACATATAATATCTTATTTCTATGACTAGGGAAGAGGAAATGAGAAAACTAAAGATGTGGATTTGAGAAGTCAAGCAAAGGCGAGATGAATCGAAAGGGTCGGATAGCTGAAAAAATTGGAGATAAATTGAACAGTCAGGAGGTTGAAACAAGGGGAACTAAAGCCTACGCGATGAGTTCACCTATAAAACGACACGACAAAATCAAGATTCACTTACTTAGGAGTCGAGGGGTGTGTGAAGGAGAGGACAATGCGGGAGATGTACTAGTCAGCGAAGAGGAGGCCCGAGGAAGTATTGACGTCTGTGTCGAGCAATGGAGGAAGATTCAATGTCGGTCGAAGGACTCGACGTTGCGGGAAGAAGCACTCTCGGATGCTCATGCGCTGCTGCCAAATAGAGGGAGGCGTCGACGTAAAGACTCGCGCGAGGGGGAGCCAACTGCAAGGGAGCAGAAAGTGATTCAATTGCAGGAAGAAATGTCCGCGTGGTTAGGGCTTCAATTGATAGGTTAAGACGAGTTTTTATAAGTTTATTAAAAGGTTTAATAAAAATTTAATACTTATAATATATGTTTAGTATTATATAAGAGAAAACATTTATAAAATTTTAACACTTAAATTACAAGAAGTAAATATTTTAAATAATAAATTAATTTTTATGCTCATTTATTGTAGGCTTAAATTTTAAAAAGTGTTGGAGGTTAAAATAAATTGAAGACAAATCAAATAGCAAATTAATCGACATCAAGATGTGTACTCGTACCTTTAATTTATAGTAATAATTTATTTCTTCTTAATTGTTTTGCAGTCAATGACATTTGCACATGATTTATTCTAATTGAGATTATTTTCTTTATCCACATATTGTTATAAATGTTTGTAGCTAGTTAATATCACACATTAGTGTGTGTTTAATATAATATGTAGAATTGAAAGCGATGAGAACATGAATAATATATTTATGTTGACAGTTTTTATGTGTATAACTGACTATGATGAAGTCACTCATTTATTATACTGGTGTGGAAAAACTGAGTTACCCGTGCATGTACATAGAAAAGAATATTGATATTAATGTGTCTTAATTTACACAATTTTTAGATAGTGCTTCTATGACGGTTGTACAGAAATATAATGATATTGATATAGTAAAATTCATTGAATAACAAGTCAGATGTTTATATTGATTTACTAAAAAGTTTAAATGAAATGCATATTACTTTGTTTTACCTTGTATTACGGTAGTTTAGAAGTAAGAGTATTCACTGGTCTGTTTAGATTGTCGTTGTTTTTAATCTAATATTTCAGATTAATTTAATTAATAAACAGATGAACAATATAAGAGAATATTTATAAAAAACATGAAAAACTAATATCGATAAACATAACTTTACTGTTTTAATTTAAATTGATTAATGTCTCTTTCATTTATTAATAGTTGGTTAATATCACACATTAGTGTGTGTTTTATATAATATGCAGAATTGAAAGCGATGAGCACATGAATAATATATTTATGTTGACAGTTTTTATGTGTATAACTGATTATGATGAAGTCACTCATTTATCATACTGGTGTAAAAAAACTGAGTTACTTGTGCATGTACATAGAAAAGAATATTGATATTAATGTGTCTTAATTTATACAATTTTTAGATGATGCTCCTATGACGGTTTTACAGAAATATAATGATATTGATATAGTAAAATTCATTGATGAACAAGTCAGATGTTTATATTGATTTACTAAAAAGTTTAAATGAAATGCATATTACTTTGTTTTACCTTGTATTACGGTAGTTTAGAAGTAAGAGTATTCACTGGTCTGTTTAGATTGTCGTTGTTTTTAATCTAATATTTCAGATTAATTTAATTAATAAACAGATGAACAATATAAGAGAATATTTATAAAAAACATGAAAAACTAATATCGATAAACATAACTTTACTGTTTTAATTTAAATTGATTAATGTCTCTTTCATTTATTAATAGCTAGTTCTAAAAAATAGATATGAAAAAATTCAATTCTCACAATCCGACTGTCTATTCCCGTCTTATTTAATTCTAAACTACGGGTCAGGCCGTGAAAAAAAAATCCAATGTTCAAGTGATCTTAAACCTTTGAGACAATTTTACTTAAATCTAAACATGAAGGCACATTAGCATCATTTTTAGCAAACTTAAGGCATAAATCGATCGTAGTTTTTAACTTTTATCAACCTTCAACTCAAATTATTTGCACTACAGAAATAAATGGACCACAATTACACATAATTACCAGTCAACTTATATAAAAGCATGTAAATAAAAAAACATATAATAAAGGGTAAAAATCCAAATGTACACCTGCAAAAAACAAATCTATTTGTAACCCTATTTGATCAAAGCCTTATCTAATTCAAATTCAATTGCATTCAAACTTAGCTCATTAGGATGCTCATTTATTTCATCCAAAAACTATTTTTGAACAAAAAGAAGTTGGTCCCAATTTTAACATGATGTTTGACCTTCATTTCTTAGCACTACTCCACATTATCTGATGAACCACATTAGCATCAAGCACTATTGATGTATACACCTAAAAATAAAATGTTGCAGCACTATAGGTTTTAACAACCTGATTAATGCTTACTGTCATGATATCTTCAAATATAATCAACTAAATAATGATAAATTCTATAAATGGAATACCAAATACAAATAGGATATCGGAAAGGGAAATGAAGTAACTTCTACTTACATTTCTAAATAAACATGCAAAACCAAAAAGAGAAATGGTGGATACAATTCTTCAGCCAATTAATAGGACATTCAAAAGCAATAGAATTCTCATGTTCCCTTAAACTAGAATAAAAATATTTAACTTCCAAAATATTACAATTGTAAAATCATATATTATAATCAATTACCGAAATATGTCTGTACTTCAAAGTAAAAAAAGCAGTAGCAGACACCATTTCAACAAAAGGAATCAATCATCCAAATATAGTAAATTTTAGTAGGCTTCAGACATCAATATCAAACACCCAAAACAATTACTTCTAACGGATACATTACAACCACCAAACCTAAAATCTATATCATTATATTATGCACTTCTTCAAATTAGATCTTAAACCCATCGTTAATTATAAATGTTGAATATACCTCCATTCCTTCAAATGTAATAAATTTCAATAAAATATGTCAAAAATTACGCGATGTTTTCTTCTTCTTTTTTTTTTGCCACAGTAAACCCTAGAGAATGGAGCCAATCTAAATATTATAATGTAATATCATCACCTTCCATTACTACTCCTTCAAGTACATCCACTGTATATTAATGACAAATATAATGAATCAATGCCAATGTTCATAGCACTCTCTATTTCATGGAGCTAGCCCTACGCCTGCAACAAAATAAAAACAAGAATATTCCTGACAGACAATATCACATCTGCGTGTCGAAATTAATGGAGTCATTAAACCACCTGAAGGGCTGAGAAGAACAAAATTAATTAATTAAGTAAGTAATTACCGTACTATTTTACCTCTTCCTGCATGTAAAGCAGCTTAGCTTTCTTCTGCTCAAACTCCGGCCATTTAATCTCACCACCATGGCAACCACCGCTTCCTTCAACACCTGCAATCTCCGTCGAACTCTGAAGAGAAGGAGACGAGATCGCCAGCGAACTACTGCTATCATTATCCTTCCCAACCCTCGCTCCACTGACCAGGCCACAGAACTCATCAAGCAGCTGCTGCGCCGGCTTCAAGAACCTAGAGCTCTTCAATATCGCCGCATAGCCGGTGAAAGGGCCGAGGGGGCCGGCGGCTTGACGCCCGCCACCGATTCCTTGAATCGGAAGCCATCTATCGCCGATTGAGCCGAGCTGCGCTGGATGAATCTCCTGCGGCGGGTTGGAAGCTAGGGAGAGTGATAGCCTCTGAGTATCGGAGTAAGATTTCGTCGTCCAACCCGATCCTGAGTTGTAGCTAGGAAGAAGAAGAAGTTCGTTACCGGTATCGAAGCGCGGGGGAGGAGGAAGAGGCGACAAATCAGATCCGGCTTGGCTCGCTAAAGTTGGGGTAGAGGAGCTCATCGCTTCGTGGAGAGAAGAGTAAGGGTTAAAGGGTAAAGAAGGAAAATGCGATTCGGCGGAGCAGGGGAGAATCCAATCGGGTTTCCAAGCAGCGGAGGAGGGTTCGAAGGGGTTGAAGAAGGAGGAATCGGGGGCGGAGAAGTCTAATTGAGGGGGAGGGGTGGAGGGATCGTAGGATGGCTGAACGCGGAGCTTTTCGCGGCGGATGTGTTGGGCGACGTGGGGCAACATTCCGGCGGTGCCAGGGGAGGCGACGGGAGGGGTTTGGGGAGAGAGTGGGGGCTAGGTAGGAAATTTGGGAGAGGGGGAGGATGCCATGGGGTGGGTTTTGGGGAGGTACGAAGAGGTGAGGGTTGGGAGGATACGTGCAAAGATGGAGGGAGTGTGGGAGGAAGAGGACAAGGAGAAGGTGGACTGGTGGGGGGATTCGTAGGCAAAAGGAGATCACATGAAGCGCGAAAGTGGCAAAAGCCCTGCAGCTAAAGCGTCGAAGCTTTGCCTCCGCGCATCCTGCTACACGCCACCATTTTAAAAAGCCTTTATTTTTTACCTTTTCTTTATTTTTTTATGTGTAAATTTAATATTTATTTATATGATGTAATAAATATAAATATTAAAATTATTTATATA